TTCTGACCTAAAAAATCTGTATAAAAGCACAATAATACAAATTGACCTGAGTCAAGCTGTGTTAATAGAAACCACTCCGGGATAAATGCTACTACATACTTTTTTTGTTTGTTTTTTTTGGTCTTAAACAAGTGCAAACAACTGCATATTTCTCCATGTTAAACTTTTGGACAACCTCTGTGTGTAAGTCAGCTACAGACTGGTCACTCTGTTGTGCAGGATGGACAGACCTACTGCAGACGAAGAGCCTGTGACTGTGGCGACCCAGACGAGGATATCTTCTGCTGTCCCAGCTGTGACAACAGACCCAGCAGTCAGTGCCTGGACCAGAGCGGACGCACACTCTACCGCAGTGGAGGGACCTGGTTGTACGGCTGCCAGCAATGTCGCTGCATGGTTAGTGCACCGGCACAGAAAATCTCACACAGCTGCAGCTCACATGACATTGTCATTTGTTCAGGTTTGTGAGAAGACATTGACGAAGGATCAGCTTGGATTTAGAGTATTTCCCTCTCAGCAAAGACTGCATGATGTGCAACAGTGGTTTTTACATCAAACTCCACGTTAACCACACCTTTGCTTACTTTACCTTCGTCTCTGCCCCTGCAGGAGGGTGAGGTGGACTGCTGGCCTCTGGTTTGCCCTGTGTTGAAATGCGAGTACACGGCAGTGGCAGAGGGGGAGTGTTGCCCACGCTGTGTCACAGACCCCTGTTTGGCAGACAACCTCTCATATGACATTCGACAGACATGCCAGGACCCTGCTGGCATCGCCCGCCTCAGTGGTGACGCATGGCATATGCCCAACTCACCCTGCAGCACCTGCAAATGTAGGGTAGGTGAACAAACACTACACAGGTCTGTCTACTACACAGCACCAATATGGACGATAATTAACTAAATATTTATGTATTATTTCAGTTTCACTACATCAAACCTGTGGGTTTGAAATACCTCCAAATAAAAGTAACGGTGACTGTATGCGATCCAGGTACTGCAGAGGGTTCTTGCAAGTGTGAATATATTAGGTTAAGCTCATGTTGGCTGGAGGATATGCAACATCTGCTTGTGATTCAAGATGAGAACGCATACTCACGCACACACACACACACACACACACACACACACACAGTGAAATACAAGATGAAAATGAAATCTGCCTGTCACAGATGATATGAAATTTTATTAAAAGAGTAAAATATGCAGATCAGAGTGTCAGGAACATATCACCACAGAGAACATCATCTCCATAAATTTAAAAAATAATAATCCATTGCAGCGTGTCTATTGAAGTCAGCCCCCAGCTCATTTGGTCTTTTCTTTAAAAAGAGAAAGGTCAAACATTTATAACATTTAGGGTTTTTTTTTTTGTTGCTTTTTTCAGCTGCTTTAAATAAAGGATATGAGAATGAACGTTGTAAGCAGATCGTTAAAGCACATTTTTATTTGTGTCAGTGGACTCAAAATGATTTGCAGGGCCTCATTTTTTTCCTAAACAATTCTCTTTTAGAGTTATTTCTATACGATTGATCTATAAATCTGGTCACATGGTGGCAGCGTGGTTGGTGGTCTTGTAATAAAGCTCACCAGTAGGAACGTTCCACCTGTTACCTCTCTGTCAAAGAACATGTAGAATGAATTAACTGGACACTTCATATTGACAGTAGGTCTGAGCCTGAGTGTGAATTGTGAGGGTGACTCAGACTCAGTCCAGACTCTGGATCAGAGTGACTGCTGGGATTAGGGTCCTCTGACCTTTAAAAGAATTAAGTGGTGGAAGATAAACAAATGGAGAATAATATTTAGAGAAAACACAATTTTCAGCAAACTTTGAAAATGCCATAAAATAATCAGAATTTTAGTTATTTTTAAACATTTCCTAGCATGCTGAAGGTCAAGGAAAACAAGAAATCTCTACAACATTGGTTCAGAGGCGGTGTACACTTTTCTGTCTTACTTTAACTAGATGGTGCAGGTTTCTTACACCAGGAGGGTTGTGGGTTTGATTTCAGACTTAGCCACCCAACGGGTATGTAGATGGGAAAGCTTGTCAAAGAATCAAATGAGCATCAAGTGGTGGCCCATGGGCCAAATGCAGCTTGCCAAACTGTCAAATTCGGCCCACGACTGGTTCCCAAAATTGTGAGGATCAAAGAGAAAATAGCGTGTGTTCTGCACTTTTAAAACAACTGCAAAAAAACAAGGTTGTCACTTTATGGTTCTGTGTTACTAGAGAATTGAACACCTTATCACTCAATATATGACTGTGTATGACCACACACTCATTTTTGTTCAACACTGTTCACATTGGAAACCGTGACATTGAAGTCAGACGATCGTCTGCTTCGACCAGGACCTCGTCTGTGAAAAGACAGATTGCTGTTTAATTTTTCAAAGTTGTCACCTCTCTGCGCCTCACATCCTAAACTCTGTTCACTTCTGATTTACACAAATTGTGACATAAATCACAATGATGGACGTCTGAAAGGAACAACAGACACTTTTAAAAATGAATGAGCAGATACAAGAGAAGGTGCAAAACACGGTCCTTAGTAATTTGGGGAAAATGACCTCCATTAACTTTGCGGACAGAGATCACGGTTAACCTCACGTGTTCTTTCTACTTAATGTTCTCACTTGTAGCTCAGTGAAGCCTGAAAATCCACTACAAAACTATTACAAATAATAGAAACAAAAAGGGGAAATCTCATTCTGTTTCACTATTTTTCTCTCTTTTTTCTTCTTGGGCGCTCAGAATGGGAACGTCTGCTGCTCGGTGGATCTCGACTGCATCCAGAACAACTAAAGCTCTCCTCCCTTTGTCATCTTTCTCCATCTTTCACCACGGGAACCAACCCCCACATGCCTCCTCGCCTCCATCTGACAAGCCTCCCTTCGGTTTCATGTCAGAGACTCACGCACACCGGTGCGTTTCAGTGTGAGCCCAGAAAGTACAGACACAAACTGGGTAAACATGGATACTGAAGCTATGCTTCTGTGCTTTAACTATGACAGCGAACTGTATGTGTGTGTGTGTGTCTGTGTGTCATAAAGGGATGAACAACGACTGCCGCTCAGACTAGAGTCATCGTGCATGTGTAATCGTCTTCTCCATGGCTTTTATGTCTTGGTAAATCAGTTCAGCATTGTGTTGGACTGAACTGAGAGAAGCTGGGTCTGACGTGACATTATCAGCAGCGAGAATGAACAAGTGATAGACAGGTGGGACATGTTGCATCTAATGGACGCCGTCAATGAAATAATTTAGTTGCATTGAAACAAAACTGAATGAAAATGTAGTTTTTTTGTTTAATCTAAAAGTAAAGAAAATGGCCCATGTTAGATATATGTACACAAGTTTCACTTTTAAACATTGGCTCACATTAGGGACAATCTAGGTAATGTACATTATGTAGTTTGGATCCGACTAGAGGTAGATTGTTGATGGTATGTCATGTGGTATTGTGGCTTGGGTCAGATGGTATTCAATTCAAATTACTTGGAAAATATATGTCGTGAATCAAACTGAAGTCACAAAAAAAGAGAGAAAATTTGCCTTTATTTTGGATGTTTTTACTTTACATAAGTCTACTGAGAAAGAGGTGAAAAATGAAAATCTTAGTTGTGAAAAACAATTGGATCAGATTTTAATGCATACTGTACACATTAGAGACACATGTTGTTACCTACACACATTGAGGTGAAAATACACTACATTAGCATGAAATACCATCTCAACTCACATCTTAAGTCAGATTAGTCTAACTGAGCACAATAAATGTCGGCAGCTAAAAACTTGGCTGACACATGTGACGAATGGATTGAGAGGAAACTGCAGACAGGAATATTGTCGAGGACAAGGACTTCACGGAAGTTTTTTAAAGTAACTCTCAACGCATGCACAGTAATGACTAACATCCATCAACTCTGTGAGGCTAAATTCTGAGTTAAAGTTTCGCATGTTTCTCCACTTTTTTTTACTTATTTGGTGTAAAACATAGAAATCTTCTTGAAGTCAGTAAGTCTTTCTGCTCCAGCAGTATGCAGAAATATGTTGATTCTTGATTAATCACTGATTAACTGTGATCCATCGTGATCAAAAATTGACTCTAGGTCCTAAGTGATCAACAATTATGAGCCTGATGAATGGCAATGAAAAAAACAAAACAAAAGAAAACACAACGCACAGTTAGCATAACTGTGGATTGACATTTTTGGATAGAAGTACATGACTTGGTTTTCTAAACATTTTTCACAGTTTTCTTCTCAGTGAAAGCCGAACAGACACGGTAGCATGCGTACTGCGGTTTGCCAATGCTGTTGACTTGGCTGGTGGTCTCCATTATAGCGCTGGTGTTTTGGCGTTTTTCTGCAGTACGGCAGCTTTGGCACTGGCTCCCCAGGTTCTTCAGCACTCAAACAAATGGCACACGCTATGTGGAAGAGACAAAAAACAAGAGAATGAGTGAAAGTGGGTAATTAAGACCTTGCCAGACAGGCCTGGATGTGAGGATGCCAGAAGGTCAGCTGTGAGTGCTGAATCTGTTTACAGACCTCCAGGCTTATTAAGTCTGCAGCTTTTCCTGCTGCATTTCAAATGTTGGGCGTGCTGATGCTGCTGTGACATCCTGCCCTGCTCTGTCCTCCGCTCCACTCCTCCTCCTTTCATTATTTAGCCTGTCTCGAGAGCTCAGGTTTGTCTCCAGCCTCATATGGATAAAGTGGCAATGCTAATGCTAATTTTAGAGTCAGCTGAAACTTTTCTCTGGCATCAGCTGCACTGTATGTAAAAAGCATCTGAAACTGGCATCAGCTGCACTGTATGTAAAAAAAAAAGCTGATATGTAAACAGCACACATCAGCCAAAACAATTATCTGTGTCGGGCTTCAACTTTGGTCAGTTGTGTTAAAACCGACTTTTTTAGTTAGTAATAATTAACTAAGTCTACCACTGAGAGGCTGACTCACACTGTAGACTGGTTAATATTGTTCAGGACCCTGGTTTCATTCAAGTTTTTAAAGTAACTCTAGACTGTTTAGGATGGACAATAACGACTGAAAGACTCTATAAGAAGAAAATGTATGTTATTACACATGTTTTGGTAGGAGTTGAAATTACACTTTTTTTTAATTAAGTATTTTATTAGTTACAAAATAAAACATGGGTGAAACACATACATCCACCTGCTGGTATTTGTCTTTCTGTTCCAGCAATATACACAAAAATATTATGTAATATTCAGGAATTACATTTTACCTTGAATAATCAGGATCAAATGATCAAATATATTCATGACATGATGATGTAAATATACAGATATACATATGCAGTGCATATCTGAAGAGAGAGGGAAGGAGATATGACAGAGCAAGGAAACTGAACACAATGTAAAGGAATAGGTATTGATTCAAAAGACATTTAAACCACAAATAAAAGCAATGTTGCATTCACAATGCTATTGATTGAAGCACATTGTCTCCTGTGCGCTGGTTCCTCCAGATGACATACCATCAAAGCCGTAAAGTGACCAGTAAACCAGTAAAGGAAACCACACGTTGCATCGATGTGACGTGAGCAGTAAACTATGAGCTGTAAACTATGTAGCAGTTGCTCGACTTAAACACTTAAACTGCAGTAGTAAAATATTAAGTATACAGTAAATCTAGTTACAGCCACCTAAAAACATTAGATTAAAGTTTGATTCCAACTGCTCGACTGTTAATGTCACCGTTCCCAGCGGTCTGTCCCTTTCTAATACCACCAGCACGACTTGTTCTGTTGCAGAAAACGAGAACGAGCAACCACACTGTAAATGCAGAGAAGGCTGTAAAAAAGTGGGTATTTATGACAGTAAGAGTATTAAATACCCCATGACTTTTCTGAAGGTGATGTTATTTACATTTGTAACAAAGGAAAAACTTAAGCAATTTATTAGGAACCAGGCGGCTTGGTATTTGAGGGTAACTGTAATATCGTAGTAATATTCTTTTTCTAAATGCCCGTTTATATTTTCAAAAGTGAAATAAAAAAATCGTTTCACCTGAATCTTACACAGTGCACCTTTGGTGTCCATCAGGTTGTTCTCTCTTGTCATATTTCTGACACCACACAGAGGGAAATTACTGTCATAAAGAGGCTGTGGAGCCCTTTCAACACAGAAGCCACTGTTGAAATCTCTGGATCACTGTGGCCTTCTGTTTGAAAAGAGATGATGTTGGTTGTTTAGCCTTTGGACAGGACAAGGTTGTGCAGCCAAGTGTGCTGCTGCTCCCTTATCTCAGCCTCAGTGTCCTTGTGTCATCTTTGGTTGTCGTGACATCTACAGTAATAGTGTCTATTATCACAGTCTCTCTATCTCTCTCGCTCTCTCCCTCACACACACACACACACACACACACACAGCACACTAAAAGAGTTATGTCCATCAAAGTTTAAGACGTCACTCAAAGAAGCATTTTTTTTACAAAGAAAACAAGGTTTTCAAAAGAGTCCTACGGTTCATTTGACAAGAGATGATGGACTTTAACACTATTTCGCACTCTGTGTGTATATGTTCATACATACAATATAATACTATAAGGGATTTTTTTTCTAGTATTATTCTGTTCATTTGACTGGACTACGACTCTTTTTTGTGGCCCTGTTTTGGTGTAAATACTGTGTAAAATGAAGGGTTCTGTAAAAAGCGTAAGACGGTGTGAATAAGTCTCACAGATGATAAATTCACAACCACAGCTTCGTTAATGATAACTGTTGTAAGTTGAGTATATAAAAAAAAATGCAACGTTGTTTTTACATTATTTTCTATTCTTGCCTTAACCCTTTCAGTGTCTTTCATCAATGTCTGTTAACTGTTTGGATGCGGCGTGGATTTGACAGGCCTGTGGAGTGGCCGCAGGTCTCTGAAGCAGATTTTGTAAATGCAAAATGTTAATAGTCCAAGGATCTTGGAGTTTGGACAGGCTGACTGTTGCTTCTAGTTCTGTACAAACTGAAAAACACTCCTCAGGAGAGAAGAGCCGAACAGAATGCACACATGTAAAAATAACATCATAATGTTTGAAAGATGGTCTCCAGTCCATTCCTTCTAAAAAAAAAAAAAAAAAAAAAAAACAGAATCAAAGTCCATTGTGTTTTCACCTCTTAATGTCTGACTTTTCACAAAGCGACAAATTTGAAACCTCTGTGTCCTGATGTGCTTGTCCATGTTTTTGATAGAGAACCACAGCAGAGGACTTTCCCAGGTCAGAGTAGCCTGTTCAGTCAGACTTAAAGGGTTAAGTGTCGCTGGACTTGAAGACTGTGTTGTGAAAAAAGTTTGCTGTAAAAAAAACTCTTTAGTTAATAAATACTTTAGTTGTTTCTTTAACTTCTTGTGTTGACTTTTAAACTGTGGTTATTGATCTACTTTTGGTAAACGTGCAAGTGTTAAGAAAAGTTTCCTCAAACTGCTCACATCACACCGTGAAACCAGTGAAAGCCAGCCTGTGAATTGTATGCAGATTCACAGCCAGCTGGAGCACAATGGAGAAGTCTTTCATGTTTCATGTTACTGTTTTTTTTATTATCAATATTTCTTCATCCCCCAGGAAATATATGAAAGACAGATATGCAGTAAAGATAAGTACATTCTTTTGATGCTGTAATGGGGGAGTGCGGTGCTGCTGTGGGGAGATGGTGCAGCACTGCTTTGTGTGTAAGTGTGTGAACATTTTTTAGAAGCGGAATGAATAAAATTATGCTCATTCTTTAACATTCTTTTTTTTATGGATCAGCAAATTATCCTGATAACCCAACTTTATCTTCTACAGCAGTTGTCCTCAACCGAACAGAACTGGGAGAGAACATGGATCACGTGGAAATAAAAAAGTTCAACTGTTATGCATTGATTCTTCCACCTAGTTCTTGTTGTCCCAATGCAGATAATATATCCTTCGAGTTTCTCATAATCACCTCTTTTGTTTTGTTTTTTGATGGTAGCAATTGAAGTATATATTTTGTGCTGATGAGTGCCATTGCTGTACATTCATCCAAAATAAAGCTCAGTCTCAATGAAATAGAATGAAAGAAACAGGATGGAACTGAAGTAACAATTTCATGACCAAACTTAGCAAAAAGAAAACATAGCCACAGATGAAAAGACAGAGACAGTAACAGAGAGACAGAGAACATTCATTACAGTAAATAATACTGCAGGTCAGTGTGCATTAAGTCTATATTTATATATAATGTTTGGACTGTTTTTCCCCACTTGAGCTACATTCACAGACATTAAACAAAAGTTATGCTGTTTATTTAGTAAAGAGAGTGAATTTATCACAAACAACTATACAGTTTTATCTTTTTATAAAATGTGTTAAGAAATGTTTGCATTTATATTTATGTGATCTTTATTATTACATCACTATTTATTATTCACTTGTTAAATTAAGGCAACATTTTGCCTTTGTGTCAAAAGTGGATCAGAATCAGCATCAAACCATGAGTGAGCAGGATTAGTTCTTCTTTATGTTTTTCATATACATATTTGTACTGCTTGGACTGAGCATTTGTGTTCTTCCACTCTGTACTGATCTGTACTGGAGGTTTCAGTCAATTAATTAATTATTGTCAGTTAGTTGTAGAGAAACTCCTTTTTTCCCAAGCTGTCTGTTACAGACATGGTGGTCAGAGACTTTGTGCTCCTTTGTATCACAGCCCCCCAATGGTGCTTTCCATTCATAGGCTGGGCCCTTGTAAGTGGAGTCACTGTCTGAGCAACAGCTGTCATATGCTACTATAAGACGTAGAGGTGATCCACAAAAAGATGGAGGAAATGCAAAAGTGTGTAAATGGACTGACAAAGTTCCCTTTTTTATTCACTTTAACTGTGCAGAAATTATACAAATGATACTAACCACTATCAAGCTTTTGATCCTCTTTCTATGTTTTAAATAACCTGGCTGAAATATAAATTACAAAAAAAAGACCTATGTGTGTGATTCACATGTTAATACAACAGGGATTAACCTGCTTAAATGCTTTATCGACCTTTGGACCAATCAATAGCTGCATAATTAAAGAGTGTAGCTGAGCTAGTGGTAAAGCAACATGCAACACATTTATTGACCTGCAGTGGCATGAGGCAGCTAAGTGTTTACTTAACCTCAAGCCAGGGTGCATGTTTCTTTGTACTTCATGTAAACAACCTTGTTCACATTTTTATGTAGGTATGTGTGTGTGTATGTGTATATATAAATATATATGTATATACAGTATATTTATATATATATACATTTTCATCTACATTGCAATTTTTTTAAGGCAAAACATTTGTGAATAATCATTCACTGTAGACACCACAGAAGTGTTGCACTTTTTCTTAAAATGCAAAGTACTAGTTAGCAATGATGTCAGTGGTAATATATCAAAGTTTACTCCACTGTAGGAGAACCCTGTACCAGCATGCAAATAGATGACATTTAGTCGGCCACTTACAACTTTCCTCTCTGTAAAGTGCAAATTCAGACCTAAAGAGGAAATCTGAATACAAGATCAGATGGGATAAGAAGAGCAGGCAGTTATCATCCCCATGTATGAATTTTTTATAAAGCGTCTTATAAGTTAGTGGATAGGTTAGGGGAAGATGAGACAGGGCTTGAAGAGAGCTAATGAGCACTTCAGAACAACTGGTAGATGGATTTAATGCTTTGGACAATTCATCCAAGTTGTTTCTTTCTCTATCTGTAAATGTACTCTGGCTGAGGCTTTTATTTCCATGGACGATCATTTCACCCAGGACTTGGTCAAAAAAGTTGCTATTTGTGTCACGCATTTCCAAGCTAAGAAGGGTAGTACTATCAATATATACATGTATATATATATATAACAGTAATGTTTAAAATATTTATTTATATTTATAAATAAACATATATACAGTATAAATACATTAGTACAGTACTGCATCGTAGGCTGCTTGCTGCTGCAGTGACGGAGCTGTCCATGGTGCTGATTTTACGTCCGCTGTTTTACTTCCTGTCCTTTATTTGTTATTTTATCGGCCAAATTTCAGCCAACCTTAGGTGCAAGTTAGTGTCAATGGTTGTTTAACATTTATCAAGTCTCTGGTGGTTTATCTGACCTATCTTGATCTGGTTGGGTAAAAAAAAATACAGTGGATTTTAATTAACTCCAAAATGTTGTATGTTGTCACACTTTGATTGTGATTGATTATATTGAGATGTCCTTAATAAAGCAGCAGTGAATGTGCCAGTACTGACCATTAGTGGGATTGCAGGCCACTGTGTTCAGCTTTTAACAACTGTGAAGCCGAGTAAAAACCAATTAAACTATCAGCTGTCCACCCTGACCTTCACACACTCACTCTGACAGGATAATTAATTTTCTGTCACATCTTATTTAGTGATAACATTTGTCAATTAGGGAAACAGATTTTAATTGGCCAGTGCATGTGGCTTAGAGGGAGAAGCAGGTTGACTAAAAAGGTGTTCATCATAAATGATTTAAAAAAAGACTGTGTATTAAGATATGTCAGCAAATGTGCTGTGTCTTAATGTGTTGTTCAGAAAGTATAGTCCAGAGACTATATTTCACCAAACCTTATAAGACAACTGTTCTGAAATGACACTTCTGTAGAATCTTTAGCGTAATCACCTAAACATTAGTAAACATAGTATAATTACTTTTTTCAAGCTATTTATGGGATGTAATATTTACCCAGCAACTCTAAGAACAAAGTTAGAAATATAGAATTTGGACAAAAGAAGAAGTGGTAATAGTTGACAAGGCTGAAGTGTTTCTTTGAAACGGGTTCTTACTGCCTACCTTATGTTCAAAGTAACATCATTTTTATAACTTCTTTAAAACAACTGCATTTATTAGTGTCGTGACTTTTTATAATCTGAAAAGCTGTTTTTATAAACTTTCAGATCAAGTTAATGTAGATTATTTTTACATAATTTAGTTAGATGCTGAGTTTTTTTGTCTTTAAGAATAAAATGTCAATCATCGCTTGCAATTTTTCAAAACAACCTGGATATTATTGAATTTACACACCGTCTGTCTGTGAGGAGGCGTGTGGACCAACACTCACACCTGGAATAAACGAAATGATTATTCATTACAAGTTTTGAAGAGAATGCTGCAGGAATGGTGAAAAACAAAATCGAACTCTTTCCTCTTTTTGCCAGTAAAGGTGTTGACAATAAGTGGCTGAGATGTCTGTCAGTGAAGTGTTTTCCATGACCATGAGTCGCCTGAGGGTAGGTGGGCGGGTGTGTGTGTGTGCGTGTGGTGTCGGCAGGGTAATCCGTCCCGTAAAATATAGGATTTTCCTTCATTTGGAAATTCAATTTTTCGCCCAGTATCTCCATAAATGCAAATCCAAAACGCACGTCTATCACGCAGACATCAACACTAAATCTAACAACATTGATCAAAGTAAAACACAAGGAATACTAAGGTCAGCAAAATTGCCTTAAATACCCTCTTCACCCGGCAACGTTCCTAAGTTTCTGCGCTTGCGTGTGTGGCTGTCACTGTTTCCTAGGCCCGCGCCTTTTAAAAATATGCACTACATCAATACTCGACCTCAAAAGCTTAAACGCTTGCAAACGTATAGACATGAGTGAATGGATGAAGAGGTACATCCTTGGTTAGACAGCGTTAGTGGAGATAATTACACACGCGTGCGGGCGACAGGTAAACATATCTGCTGCGGTGGCGCCTGACTAAAATTACATCAAGAGGATTTTAAACTCAGGTGTTTCTAAATTAAGTTTCTAAAATTATCATTTTCATAATCATCTATCAATCATCTGCCTCCAACTACAACTGCAGCATAATTTCTCTGTTTTTGGTATAGTCACGTCAAAAAGATGCAGAAAAACAGGCAACAGAAAGACAACCTTAAACTGCTCGCAGCGTGGGTATCAAAAAGTTTGGCTAGCTTTTAACAGCCACAGGTGTAAGAAGTTCTTTCTACATGGCAGCTCGACCTAGTCCAGATGAACGACTCGGACAGAAAGGCAAGTGACTTTTGAATCACATTTTTGGTGTTTGGAGCACAACATTATTGTTTTCTAGGCTGCTGCAACCTCAGTGCAGAACTGAACGCTTTCGGAAGTCTTTCCTCCCGTTAGCCATCAGACTGTTTAATGCACAACTATAGTACTGTTCTGGTCTTTCAACATATTACAAACCTTCAAGCAATATTGTTTACATATACCAATCCTGTACATAGCTACACTGCATATTGCTTGTATTTTTATTTTGTTCCACGTACACCACTACTAATCTTAGTCACTTTATTTTCCCTGCAGGTCACTTTAAATTTTGATATTATTATCACCTTGTAAATACCTTCTACCCTGCTGTTACTTTTTTATCACCTTGTAAATACTATGTCTACCCTTCTGTTACTTTACTTTTAGTACTACATGTCTATCCTGCTGCTGTAACAACTGAATTTCCTGTGTGGGATGAATAAAGTCTTATCTTTTCTCCAGCAAATTTCTCAAAGTAACTGTGTACATTGTATTAAAGTTGAATTCAAAATCTTTTAAATTAACAGATACGTTGGTATTTCTGCGCAAAGAGACCAAGTCGAAGTTGTCCAGCGTGCAAGTACACACCTGAAACTAAAAGAAAGGTATGCTATCTGTGGAGTCAAGCTAAGGTTTTCTATTTAATAGGAAAGTAATTATTTGACAAATTTTGTGCACACACCAAAACTTCAGTACTCAACTTGAGTCTCTTCATTTATTTTCCAGATTGGTCATCATGAAGATCTTCAACACGGTAGGGAGAGTCCTCTTGATTTTATTCTGTGCGGCCGCCGTTCCGCTGCTGTGTGCGTGTGTGAGGCTGCTGTGCCTTGCTAAATGTCTGTGTTTGAGTGTGTGAAACATAGCAATACCTACTGTAAATGGCCCTCTCTTTTCTCTTTGTTGGTTTCCCTTCTGTTTTTCTTACCTTAAAATAAGGCTGTGAAATCTGAGTTGTGGAGCGAGTCATAAATAGGAGGGTTAGCCAGTCAGTGGTCTGTATTACATCTGGGCAGCTCTCCACCTGAAAGTGGTCATGAGCAAGTTGTTGCGACTCTGGTCCCTTTTTTATTGGTGTGGACGTGGAACTGCTGAGCAAGTAGGTAATTGTTGGCTGTGGGTCAGATTTTTGGCCTTGGTGGTATTTGTAGTTAATTGAATGTTTGCAGAGAGTGATATGGCATGTGTGAATGATTAGAATTGTTTTACGCTCAGCAGTTAGCGGTCAGTGAGTGTGAAGATGTTCTTTCTTAATTTGTGTGCAGTAACATTTGTTTTGTAGATCCTGTCGACAAGGGTGAGTCCGAAACTTTTTTATCTTCCTCTCCGGATGGCTATCCTGTCAGCCTCCGCCTGTCTCTGTCCTAATTATACATTAGCAGTGTTTTGTTTCTCTATAATCTAGCATGTAGCTTTTAGCATCTAATTTAATGATATGGCTGAACATGTGGTGTGTCAGTTGTTAACTAACTTTAAACTAAATTAATGTACCAAAATAAAGTTTAACCAATTGGGAAAGTTTTAAAAACAAAAGACTTGTGACATTGCAACATTAAACCAGTGCGATCCAACTTCTTTGAGGGCTACAGATGAAAATGCAGACAGGTGCGTTCCATTTTGCTTCTGGGGTGGAAGTGGGATTTAACCCTTTTTTTCAGCATTTTCTGGAGGAAGAGGAATCTGCAAGAACTGTAAATTGCGATTAGTTGCGCGGTTAAAATGTGACACACAAGGTAAGTGGCACTAGGTCTGTTCTTTCCCAGCCGCTGTGCTGGTCTTGCCCCCAACATGGCCACTTGCCATGACCTTTGTTCCAGCCGCTGTGCTGATCTTTCGTTCTATCCTGTCTTTTTTGCCTTTAATAAAAACCTTGCGTCTAAAGGCTAGTTGTCGGTAAACGTTAAGTATGAATATAATGGCCACTGTTCAGTCTAAAATATGTAAAACTGGAATGTTTTGTACCAGTGTGTACAACTATTAGGAGAGTAGCAATGGTATTTCTTTTTCTTGGATGTGTGTGTGTGTTTGGGGGGACCAGATGTTGAACCATGTTGTTTCTGAACTGAAGACAAGGTAGCTTAGTTTGAACTTTGAGGATATTTTGTTTTGGCTTCTGTGTTAAAAGGCTGACATCCAGTAATCGGTAGAGTGCTGTTGTGGCACTTCCTCTTGGCTCCAATGCCAGCTGTCTCCTGTCCTGTATTTCCATGTGTGGCCTGTGTAGTACAGGGACATTTTACCTTTAATTTAGAGTCCACTGGCAGTTTTTATAATTGAAACTACAATTTTGAACTCCAGCTTGCGGTCCTCTTCTACAATCTTCGACGTTGCGATCATTTTGGAGCACTGCGGTCATTTTCTACAATTTTCGACATTGCGAGCATTTTCGGTTGGTGCGGTAATATTCTACAATTTTGAATGTCCTAGTCCCTTTGGACGTTGCGGTTGCTGTCCTTTTCCGGCTGTCCGGTTGCTGTCCAGACTGACTACCTGAATTCCAGCTACATCTACGAAGACTGATGTCCAGGACTTATGTGGATTTGCCTGCTTTGTACTTTAGGCAATGTATACATGTATATTTTATTGCCTTTGTACTTTTGTCTATGTATACATGTACATTTGCTTGTCTTTGTACCTTTTCTTAATGTATACCTGTATATTTGCTGGACTGTTAGACCTTTGTCAATGTATACATGTACATTTGCTTACCTTTGTACTTTTGTCAATGTATACATGTACATTTACTTGCCATTGTACCTTTTCTCAATGTATACCTGTATATTTGCTTGACTGTTAGACTTATGTCAATGTATACATGTAAATTTGCTTGAGTATTAGACTTTTGTAAATGTATATCATGTGATTACTGTCTGTGAGGTGAGTCTGTATACACTTGTTGACCACTGGATGCATGGAGCCCTTAATGTGATCATTATCTGCATGTGACCTTTTGGGTGAGTTTAGGGCTAGGTGAGTTGCAGGACACCTGGGAGATGGAATTCACATTGTGTTACTTTAATTTACTGGTGTTTAAACTGGGCTATTTGTACCAGAGTTTTCGACAATCAATATAGGTTGGTGTTGTAGGGGGTGTGGGCTTCAACGATGCTTTCCCTATTGACTAAATGTGGTAAGATCAGTCATCAAACAGGTAAGACTCCCTGGTATTTTCACTGCCCCAGATGAGTTGGCGCTGGGTCCATACAAGTTCTGGAATTGTAGTGTCCTGGCCTGTAGGGCTCAGGTGGCCCAGGTAAACAAACTCCTTAGGAGAAGAATTCTCTCAGTCACAAGATGTTGTCAGGTTTGTTCTTTACATTGACCATTGCTTAATCTGTTCACTGTAAGCTGTGTATCTAGGTATCAGAGTTGACCAAGGGCTGAGAAGAGTGATCTTGGTTCAAGGAAGAAAAGATTGAGTTTTATAGGTGTGCATTTATAAGTTTTTGGTTACAAAATTTCACTTCCATGTGACTAAATGCTAAATGACATTGGCAATGATCAAGACACCCTCCCTTGTCCTTTTGGCAGATGTTGGACTGGACCTCGTTAAGCACAGCACATGTACAGATCTGAAAAGAAGACTTGCTATGAAGAACACTATTAAATAGACAGGTTTGTCATTCTGTGGTATATTTATAAATCTTTGTTTCTAACTCTTTACTTGTACCTAACAGACCTGTGACTACAGAACTTGGAGAAGCTACATCCTGGTCAGGTCACGACTGCATCCAAGATGATCCAGACCTGCTACCTTCCTACTGGGTGTCTGAGGGTTGTACAAATTACTATCTCTGTTGCAGGGCAGTTTGTCATTTAGAAAAATACTTTGACTCATTATTTTGACTTTTTTTAAAATCTGCATGTCACATGTTTCACAGGTTAGGTGGTCTGAGTTAGTTAGGGTCACTAACAGATGACTCCAGTTGTAAATCTATGACTGGTCACTAATTTTCTGCCCCTTGACAAGAGCGTAGTTGAGGCTTAGGGTCTTTTTTTTTGTTTTCTGAGGAAAAAAAATGTACAGGTATAGTATTATTTGACTGAGGATCATGAATATGCTGCCATTGGTGTTAACTGAGTAAATTAACATTAAGCTCATTGATATTGTAAATTCAGCAGCGGAATTTTGTGCAAAACAGTGCGTTTTACTGGGTACATGCAGGGCTAAGTGTGCAAATGTGTATATATATGATGGTGTATTCTGGTAGGCATACAGGTTAGATTAGGCGATTAGGTTCTTTAATAGAAAATATACTTGGCAGAGAGACAACCCAAGACTTTGTAAAGTAAATGAAGTAAATATTTACAAATTATTTTAAACTTCATGTGACTTCAATACTACAGCTGGAAAACAAGTTGTTGGAGTACTCGGTAAAGATGAAGACCTTTAATGTTCTACTCCCGATTCAATCAAATGGTTCAGCTTCCCTGACTACAAGTTGTGATCAAACAATACTGCTAATTGTAAAATGGAATGCTCCTATGTGAATACCTGAATCTGGGTAATGAGTTTGGGTTCTTACTATAAAACAAAGTCAACTCATAAAATGGTCAGGTGTTTGTTATTCCTCTGTTTAAGGAAATCAAGCCTTTAATCCCCATTTGCACACCATGGACACAGTTTCCAAAACCAGACATTGATCCCTCTGGTTTTGTGACTCTGCCCATCCATGGAGTGCTGAGCCTTCCAATATGTGACCAGTAAATGTTTTTATAAAGTTGATTTACTTATAGAATAAAGGAAGCTGTAATCATTTGTTTGGACAAAGATTTAACATTTTAGAATCTGCATTTAAAATTGGTTGTGTAAGGGACATTTGGTTCCCTGTAGTTGAAGTAGAGGTGTGTGTGGTAGGCCTCATGCTGACAGGAAGATGTCAAAGGATATGATCAAGAGTTTTAAGGCTTTAGGAATAATTGGCACGACACCTGGGCGATGGCATTTACTTTAATTTAATTTACTGGTGTTTAATCTTGGTTAATGGTGTGAAAGTGTTCCACGATCAGTATAGGTGGGTGGTGAAGGCTGTCCTGATTGACTGAATGTGGTAAGATCAGTCAATTAAACAGGTAAAAATCCTTGGTGTTTCCTGCCCCAAATGTGGGTCACTGCTGGATCCATACAAGTGCTGGAAATCTGGTTCTAGTGTTCCGGTTGTCCAGATGAACCAACTCCTTTATGACAGGATCTTCTCAGCCACACTGTCTTCAGGTTTGTTTCTCACATTGATTATTGCTAAATCTGTTCACTTAAATCTGTGCACTCACTGACTGGTGATTTGATTTGTCTCTAGGAGTCTATGAACCAGAGTTGACAAAGTATGGAGAAGATGGATCCTGCTTAACAGGACCTGAGGTAATCAGAAGGATTTAGTTTCTATAGGTTTTATTTATTTATTTTTATTTATTCATAATTTAATATTATGTTTTCATCTTGTTGTATCCAGTCTCAAGGTCACTGTATCTTTGCTTGTTTGTATTGTGTCCAGATGTTTAACCAAGTAGTCTGCAGGGTCCATTAAAACAGGCCAAAGTTTAAACCACGATCTGAATGGACCCCAGAGAGCTGAAATCAGCTACATGTAAGTCCTCATTGATGTTGTTCTCTCTCATGTTGAGCTGTCTCTGCCAAATGACAGGAGATGGTTGGTTCTTTCAGATTACTTGTGCTGCCCCACATTAACATTCATATATTTATTTAGTTTCCCCTTTTTGTCATCTGTTGGCAGACGTTCTGGACCTTGTCAAGCATTACGTGTACAGGACAATGTGAAAAGCAGAAGCAGACTGTCTGAAAGAGCAACATTAAATAGACAGGTTTGTCTTTCTCTGGTATATTTACATATTATTCTTTATGTTTCTTACTCTTTTCTTTATTCTAATAGACCTGCAACTACGGAACCTGGAGAAGCTACATCCTGCTCAAGTCTGCTTCCTTCCTACTGGGTGTTTTAAGGTTGCAATATATTATGATCTCTGTTATGGACGGTTTGTTGTCATATAGAAAACTTACTTGATTTATGACTTAGGTTCTGGCCTCCAAGAAAAGATTATTTTATTTTATTTTTTTGTCCACTTTCAATAAATGTTTTACATTTACAAATCAACATGACATTTTGTGAATATGGTCTCTGGTCACTGATGACTTAAACTACACGCTTGATCCCAGATTCATATTTGATTTGCTTTGGTTCACACTCAGTCAGAATTTAAGAGCTGGATTTCCTTCGCACTGCTTCACTTCAGTACACTACACTTCTATCCTAACTCTAACCCTTCTTCTTGGTTCCTCTTAGTAAGAAATTCAGTCATGAATTCTTACTGTGGTCTACCATGGACACAGTTTCCAAAATCAGACTTGGATCCATCTGCTTTTGTGACCTGTTCCATCCATGGTGCCACACCATCCTCCATAAATGCCAGCAACCAGTCAATTTGAAGTATAGAATAGAATAAATAAAGATTTGGTTTATGATCAAGCATTTGTAGTTACTTCATCAGTGTATTTTTGGCCATATCTAGGATTATACATGAGAACTCATGGTGATTCAGTTAATGGTTGCTTGTTTTAGTTTGAGGTGGTCCATGGTAATCCTGTTATTTTTTATTTTTTATTTGTTTCTTGGCTTATTTTTTCTCTTACTCACTACTCTGTAATTTAAGTAATTCAAAAACAAATGTTAACATGTGTTTCATGATGCTAAATACTTACGCTGACCTCTGTGTTGGTCATATCAGGCTTTGTGGATGTAAAATGTTGATCTAAGCCCTGTGCAGTTAAGATAACAGAACCTTAAACCAAACCTCCTATTGTAACCTTCTCAAATTGTAGCCAGAAGGCTAAATTACATTGGTAGTCCCCCTGCTAACTCCTCTGATAACTTGACTAGGTTTGTTATAAAGAAAAAGAATTGTCCTTCCTGCATTTTATTGCATGCTGTAATTTTAGATGTTTAATTTAAAATAAAAGCTTTACTCTAATAAGAAATTTCTCAGGCTTAGTCCCTCTTTAAATTGTCACACATTCAGAAGGTATTTGTAAAAAATTCTCACCTTTTTCAATTGGATTGAAATTTGGTTCTTATCCGTCTTGTCACAATCTGCTGTTACTTATGAATTAGGTTGGAAATTGTCAAGGTGTGTTGTGGTATCCAGGACAATGGGGGGAGGGGGGGCAACTGATGTGTTAATAAATGCCATGTGCTAATGTTAAAGGTAAAATGATTTCAAATCTTTAAAGCTTTAAACATAGATTGGAAAAATTGGCTGCAAATTTTGCAATACAAAAATGAAATGTATATTATTTGACAAAACATTAGGGGATGAGTATGTAAAAGCTCCAGCCTAAAACTGTCAATTTTTGGGTTTAATCATGACAAACTATATATGCGTTTAAACTTTACATGTCAGCATTTAAAATGTGTGTTAGCAGGAGCCATGGTGGCTTTCTCTTTTTATTCCTGAAAGATGGCAACCATAGTGTGGTGTGTGGAGCTGGATAAAAAAAGAGACAGAGATGGGAGTAAACAATGGCTTTTACTGTATAGTGTAGGTAAAAATAAGTGGAAGAGAAAATTAAAGCTGAAAATGGTGATCATTTTGCAAGTAACAGGCAGAAAGCAGATCCATATGGATGTGAAACTCATGACTCAGTTCTGTAGGTGAAACTGAAGAATAGCACAGAGTTTCCACTGTAATCACAGCAGCACCTGTAATCTACTGACTGTGGAGTCGAACATGGGTAGGTGATCGTTGGTAAGTGGGCTCAAGCAGACTAATAAAGCTCCCCGTGGGCTTTGTTTCTGACATTCTGCTCTTGCTTCTGCTTGCTGCAGCTCCCACAGAGGCAGTGCATGATGATTGCAACACAAACGAAATTGGATGTATTATCTGGCTGAGCAGATGGAGAACATCCCCTGGAAAGTGATTGCAGCTCAACACACACTGTAGTCTAGACGGTGCTCTTATTGGGTTTATCTGCTGTGCATTGTTTGGAAAGGCTGTTTTGTTTGCTTGAATAATGATGTGATATGGATATAGGTGGAATTACAGAGAAATGGAAGGGACTCTAAATGGATTCTAAGAGTCAATTAACCTGGCATAGATGGAGGTTGCATTTAATGGCACCCAAACACTAGTCCTGAAATTTAGATCTTATACAAACAAAGCCTGAGGAAAAATGTGGTTCTTGGAAGTCTAATGCAAAGATGGTGTACTTTTGCTGGGTATTTAATTTGAATCACAGCAAATGGAATAGGCATGTGGATTGCATTTCAGATATGGAGTTAGGAAAATGACAGGAGGAGAAGAGCCTGGAGGGCATGGTTAGCGTGCTTCATGGTTTAGTGATGCTCTACTTTTGTTATTCAACTGACTAGACTTGGTCCGGAAATTGTCTGAAAATCTATAGAAGATACAGTAACAAGTTTGGGGATTTGCTACAAACGCACACCTGCCTGCTCTTAAACTTAGTGCCTAATACTTCACTTTTACACACATCTGACATGACTGGTGCTGTAGCAAAGGCAAGAACTCAATGTTGGTAATGATGTTGTTGAAAAAAGTATATTTTACATTTTCATTTCTGACAGACTTTGATGATTACACATACAAATATTACAATGGGTAAATTACATTGGTTCTTAAATGCATCTCCATCCACTCCACTCTGTCTGCACCCTGTTCTTCACCTCTACAAAATACACAACACATTCTTCCTGTCACATAATCTTCTCTTTGTCAAGTTTATATGCACACTTAAATGTTAATGGAGTTCATGCAAACAGTTTATTCTTACATAAATATGAAGTAAAGAAATCTGTTTACTTGCTGTATTAAATAAACATGGTTTTAAGTTCCACCTTGTCACTTTGGTTCATTGGGAAATCTTTAGAGGGTGCTGGAGGGGAGGAGGTTCTGAGTGAACAAAATGGAGGAGGAATTGGACCACAACACATCACATTTACTGGCCTTTGGCTGCATTACCAGATACTCTGCAGGGAAGAGCTCTGAGGACAACATGCAGGAAAATCTCCACAATTACAGGGTTTATTAACCTTAGCTTAGATCTCTTCAACTTCAGGTTAGTGCACAAAGGACGTTACATTTTCTGGTGAAAACAGCTTTTCGGGTATCAAGTATTTTACATCAGTGGTGGGTGAGTACTGCAGCCACAAAGGTTAGGGGGTTTGATCCCTCGCCCTGCCAGTCCACATTCTAATGTGACTCTAGGAAAAACACTTAACCCAGGTGGCTCCTGGTGCCCGTGCTGACATGCTGTGAAAGAGAATGAGGTAGAATGAGAAACAGGAAGATGCAATGTTATGTTATAAAATATTTTTATTTACTAAGGTAACAATTATCTTGTCATTATCACACTGCTATGGGACACCTTTATTACCTATTATTACCAGTATATAAAACAAGGCTAGATTCTTCGTAATAACCTACAGTCTTTATCAGGACTGGAAAGAGAGGTGAAAAATCCTTTGTAAGAAAATAAATACTACATTGAAGAAAATAAACTAAACAAATTCATGAATAAATCAAAATGTTTGGAGATGTTTTGTGCCTTAATGGAGTTATTCAGAAGTCACTGTGATTATAATCTCAACTCAAAGGAACAATAATTAATCATGAATGTCTTGTTCTGTAATCCTATAGAACACTGTACTGTATGTTCCTCAAGCAGCATTGGTTTGACATAAATGACCTTTTCTGTGGAGAATGTCAGCTCCCACTGCTCATGACTGTGGTTCAAAGTGTTTTTTTTTCTTTTTATAAATATAATGGCCTAAATGTGGCAGGTACCTGCTCCCTGCCAGGTTCAACGGCACTTAGATTCATGCTGCTGTGACATAAAAGGGCAATTACGACATTGTGACATTTCTATTAGCCCTGCAGATGCTCTGCAAAAAAGTCACAGAAAAATGATTCAAAGCACATTAACATCCTCCCAGGGCTTAGAACGTCCAAAAATGTTTACCTCTAATAAACTCCTGTATTTTTCTTTGATGATTAGAGAAATGGTTCACTGCCATTTCTGCAATAGTGAAGGTTGCAGTTACACAAAAGCCTTCCTGGAAAAATATTGATATAAATAGTAAACTTTTAATATTCCCTTTAGATTCCATACCCTTTCACACTATGCACATATTTTAAAAGCATGTGCTTAGTGATTTTGTGCGCACACTAATTTAACCAAATTACATTATAACAGAATGTCACAAAAAAAAGCAGGGGCTGCCGTGATAGAAAAATAGATACCTATAAAATCAGGCAAAGGGACAGAGATATGTATGAAATGTGTATTTTATGATGTTTTACTGACAAACTTAACTATATTTGTCAAATATATATATATGTGTGTGTGTGTGTGTGTGTGTGTGTACTTTTCTTACCTTGCCTTTTTTCTTTGAATAGCAGATTAGCTGGTTTTTGGGGTCCAAGTGGCTGAGAGTCTGTCAGAGTTCCTTAAAACAACAACAACAACAAAAAATTAAAACATTTTAGCCTGTTCTTATCTGCAGTTGATAATATTCGTGATTTAGAGAGGCAGAACGATTCTCAGTGCAATAAGGCCAAAGGCAGAAACGATTGTGAGCATTTCTGCCTGAAGGCGATATTGCATTAAGCAATGCTTCTGACAAAGGCTGAGGAACATTTTGGGAATACACTGTTGTTTAAGGAACTGAGGAAAACAGACGTCTGATATTTACAGGCCAAACATGGAACAGATCTTGCAGAGTTCCATGACTTTTATTTGTGAGAGGTACTGGGGCGAGAGGGTTGCCACGGTTGCCATGGCATCAATCATTTCACCTAGATGTGATGACATATATGACATAAGTTCTTTGTTACATTCACAAAGATTGTGATTAAAACGTAAAATGAAATACTTTATTCTTAATTATGTGAAGCACAGAGCCGAAACTAATGAATACACCATGGCCCATGCAGATGGAGCTTTACGTTACCATACAGATGTCTTGGACAAACATCTTATTGAGCTCCTTTTATGAGACAAATGGGAACATCATGTTGTGCAGTAACAGAAAAGCCAGCCGATGGCTGAAACTTAATCAATGGTTTTGTTTACTAACCAAGATAAATGACTGTGTGAGGAGATTAAAAACTCAGAACAAAAGCCAAAAATAAATAACTATTCAAATTACTAATGGTGTACGACGAAGAGGGAAGAAAAAGGGAAAATAGAGTTCTTGTTTCTGACTGTTGACTATAATCACTGCAGATAAAAAAAGAATGAGAAAGTTGAATGAGAGGAAAATGGAGCTAGAAAGAAACAATGGTATGAAACATTAAGTTTGGCTGAAACACAGACGGTCCATCAGTGAAACTGCCCAGGGCTGAGTGTAGAAAACTAATCCACCCTATTTGCAGGGAAAATATCCATATTCATGACGGTCAGAGACCAAAGCAACGACACCTACTTGTGTTTGAGCAATATGTCTCCTCTGCTGATACAATGGTGACATTTCATCAACAGGAGGAGAGGAGGATAAGGGTGGTTAGAGGGCAGTGCTGGACTCTGTCACAGCTTATGTTTGAGAGAGGAGATTTGCATAATTACAAAACAAGTGTGCAGTGTTGTGTCAGACAATGTAGGACGGAGTTAAAGAAAAGGGCAAGTACGTAGCTTTAAGGGAATTGTATCCCTGGCTGAGGACACAGTCTGCTCCAAGGTCTAAATGTATCTGTTTAAGACGGTCGCAGAGAGCTGAAACATACTGTGTATTGTCATTCAAAGATCTACATGTGTTAATGAAGGTGAATGTGGCTCATAATTTACAATTAATAAAAACAACATCACCCAAAGATAACTGTTACCAATCTGGGTTTGTCAAGGGAAGGGATTTACAAAGATTGGTGTCAGCCCCTGTTGGGTGTATGAGTTAAAAATGTGATAGTGGTTTGTAGTATTTTTTTAAGTGAGCTTACCTTTGTATTGGAATTTAATTTGCTTATTTTCCTAAGGTAGAGGGAATTGGTGGTGCGTCAACCTGGTTGGAATACAGAAGGGATGCGCAGCCAAAAATGTTTGGGATCTGCTGGTCTAGGGAATAAGAGAAGTGAAAAAGGTAGGGTTAATTCACAATTATTTTTAGAAACAAAAAGCATACATGACACACTGGTCTAAAAGAAAGGAGTAACTAAAAGACAAAGTACAATGAGTACTAACAACATGAAACAAACAATATGAATAGAAGAAGGAAAAACTGAATGGATAAAACAAGGCTATATACACAAAAGTGGTGTAGGATTTTAATCACATGTATATTCAGTTTTTGATGAATATTTATGTGTGTCTTGTGTTAATGTTTTAAAAAGCTGCCTCCCACTGTAAAGCTATCTCCCATCCACAGGGGCAGTGGCTTCTTGATAAATATCAGGGTGTTAATGATACAAACCTACTGGAAATTTCAAGTGCATTATGGAGCAGAAAGTGAGAGGCGCATGTGTCATTAGTGACTATAAACAATGAGAGTGCCAATTCATAGATGAAATATGAATGTGCAGCCTTAGTCTGATTACATTCTGGTTTATATTTATAGACATTTGTAACTAGAAACTACAGGGAACACATGGTGATGTATTTACAAAGAATTAAGAATCCAGTAAAGCAAAACAGAGAGTATTAAAGGGAATGACATGGGGACTTATGACAGGGAGGAAACCACATAGAAAGCTGATGTCACCTCATTCACCATGAGCAGATTGCATTACGTCCTCCTACAATCTATCACGTCAGAGGTCCACTGGAGAACAGAATGTCTGCGTTAATTAAGTGGACTAAATATGAATGGGGACTTTTCTTTCCTGAACAAAAGTTTTCCTGGAGGAATAATGTAGGAAAAAATACTTCAACTTCAAACTTCCGACAAAGCAGTGAACGTGTCAGGCTACTGTTTCTGAAAAACATGCAGCAACCCGTGGAGGCTGATGCAAGGATGGGTAAGATGAATGTGTACAGGGGAATATTTGGCCTTCAGGCCCGAGACAGTTTATTTCACAATCCACACACTTTTCATTTAGTTCCTATGAGGTCACATCTCAAAGCCTGGGTGAAGGTTTCTGTGACTACAATCTGAGATGGACGTGCACCAGCATTTTGGCAACACCCTTAAGTGGCAAATGGAAAATAACAATAATTCTACATGTGAACATAAACAGCAACAATAAAGCAAGGGACGCTGTAATAATGTTCTGACATTATTAAGATAAAAAAAAAAAAACAGTTTGACAGACAGAGTCATGGTTTCACAGTATACCAACAGATATCAAAGAAAGGAGTTTACTTAGTAAACAAGTGTGTATTATTTGTCATGTATGTGTATTTTTCTTTAGTCTGATGGATGAGAAGTTACTGCTCACTATACTCCTGTCTGCTGCATTGGCACCTTCACTAATTATCCTCACTGTGATTCCCTTTGAGGCAGAGTGAGATTTTTTAGGCACTGTCATCTCCAGGGTGGAATATATTAATATTCACATCCTCCTAATCAGGAGATGAAGTGATAATAATTCAAGTGTTAACAAATGTTTAAAATATAAAGTTGTACAACTTCAGCATTTCTCCTTAGCATCAGCTTCATTGGATATGACATGAACATGACATAAAATAGCAATTCATCCTGTTTCATATCTCATCAGCTGTTTCCTTGGGCCTTAAGTGTTACTTTGAAAGTGTCGTTGATGTCTGTATTACTGCCACTGGGGACAGTGCTGTGTCAGGTTACATTAGATCCGATAGGATCGTTTCCGTGGGAATAATCTTTGGAGAGTTTGGAGTAGTTTAAGTTTAAGTTTAGGATCCATCTGTCTTACACCAGAATCATCACTTGTCCTTTCACATTTTTCTCCACTCCAGATTTTAATATCTTTCCTTTTTAATATAGAATATCCACAGATAGAGTCTCACAGGAGATGATGATCAGACAGTGGTGATGTACTTAAATCCCTGACCAATAGAATGCTGTGATATTACTTTGGTGGTCACAAGGTTCACATCAAAAATGGTGGGCCAACTAAAGCCTGAGGCGAAGATTATTCAGGGTAGAGGTCTATATGAAATTTAGGTCCACAAGGAGCATGTGCATGATGTATTACACTATATAACATAATACAGTAAATGTGTATTATGTGTTGGCAGTAACGCAAGAAATACACTTTCAAAATCTTATGTACAAAATGCACTTTTTTAGAATGATATGTTTGGAAAATCTTTGGTCCCATGACCAGGCTTGTTCAAATCTTGGCTAGGCTTTGCATTGTTCAGTAAAACCAAAAACTCCCCTCTCGACTTTTCTCTCCAAAGATTATTCCCACGGAAAGTATGGAATTTAATCAGCTTGCACGTACGCATGTGTAGAACAGTAAAAATACAAATAAAATCCATTAATGATTGATGTGACAAATTATTAAAGACAGCTGGGACAGGATAACCTGAAAAGAAAACTTGAATCTATAGCCGGTGTTCTATCAGATTTGTATTCCTCGTCGCACTTGTAAACTTTGACTACTGTGCATGCGTATAAAAGAATAACCCCTGGAATAGACAATAACTTATCCCAGCCCATTTTCTTTCTCAATTTTAAGCATTAAAATGGGCTTAGCTACATGTTTTTAGGCCATTTAGTACAATTATTAATAATTTATAAATTTTGGGGAACATTTTATTTTTTTAGGACTTTATTGGCAGCAGGTTTTGGGGCATAAAC